CGGTTCCTCAGAGGAACGGGCTTCCTCGGGAGGTGGTGGGCTCTCCTTCTCTGGAGGTTTTCCAACAGAAGCTAGACGGCCACCTGACAGCAATGCTGGTTCTGTGAACTTGGGCAGGTCATGAGAAGGGAGGGCAGGAAGGGTTGCCTCAGGGCTTAGTTCTCGCGGCCCTTTCTTACATGCCCTGGGAAATGCTAATCACCACTTTGGGGTTAGGAAGCAATTTTCTCCAGGACGGTTAGATCCTGGAGTTTTTTTGTCACATTCTGGGCATGGAGCAGGGGTCTCTGGGGGTGAGGGGTGGGGTATTTGTGAATTTCCTGCATTGTGCAGGGGGTTTGGACTAGATGACCCTGGAGGTCCCTTCCAGCTCTATGACCTTATCATTCCATGACAGTTGTTCAGGAAAGGATTCACCAGTCACACACCTCAGACTTCCTCTGACCGCCCCCTCCCCCAGCCAAGAGTTGGCCAAGGAATGTCCATTATTTATTTTTTTAGGGGTTTTTTTAGGTCACCGCTCCCCCGAAGGGTCTCGTGGCAATTGACAACATTAAAAGCAATAAGGGTAAAAACAAATAACGAATATAAAATGTTAATATTAAATAACATGGCAATAACGACTATAAAATGTTAATATTAAATAACATGGCTGTCACGAAACCACTAATAAAACAGCCCGAACATGGGGTTACCCTCAAAAGGCCAACCTGAGCAATACGGCTTTGCCTGCCCTGCGGAAATGAAACAAGTCCGGCCAGGCACGGACGTCACCCGGAAGTGCCTTCCCCGGGCCTACCTGGTGCTGAGGAGATGGGGCTCTCGTTTAGGGCCCTACACCTTGGGTCTTGCGTGTTTCTCGTTCTTGACAGGAATTCCATGGACACGAGCAAGAAGACCCCAGAGCCTAGGACGGTTGTCGTCAAGAAGTCCCAAGCAGAACTTGGAATCCAGATCTGTGGTGGGAACCTCTATGGAATATTTGTGTCTGATGTAGAAGAAGACAGCCCGGCCAGGGGCCCTGATGGGTTAGAGATAGGAGATATGATTCTTGAGGTAAGCAGTAGGTGTGAATCGAAGGTAGGGGGTGGGCCCAATTCACTTTGGAATTTGTGGGCCCAAAACACACTTGAATGTATGATAAAGCAAGTATATTCAGATTCTTGGGCATGGCTGTGTGTCCCTTACGAAGCCCATCTGTGGTTCCCTATTAAATGTGGTCTTTGCTGCGTTCTGTCTTTATGCCCTTTTCCCCTTTCGGTTTCAGAGCCCCTTAAACAAACATTACGTTGCTCTACTCTTGACTCTACCACTTATCCGGTTGCTTCTCTCTCATGTCCCATTTCTAAACAGTACGGCTCTGTCGACATGCGGAACAAAACTGCTGAGGAAGCTTACCTTGAAATGCTGAAGCCAGGAGAAAGCGTCAGAATAAAAGCCCAGTACAGAATACAAGAATTCAACAGGATCAAAGAGTTACCCGGAGATGGGTTCTACGTCAGGTATTTTCAGAGTTCATCCAGCCAACCAGGAATATGAATCAACGATGACTACGGGCTAGTTTGCTCACATCTGAACTTCCTTCTAAGTTCACTTTATACTAGTTTTAGCTAGCTAGTACTCAGTCCTCTGGTGCGTCAGATGATATAGTTACTCCTTGGGGTCACAGGGGGCCACCACAAAATGGCTGCTATAGGAGGCGGGGCTTTAAACACACCCAGAGGAAGTCCAAGTGCAGGGGAGAAGAAGGGTGATCTTAAAAATATGCTGGGACAGAGGAGTTAAGAGAAGAAATGATACCTGGCTCCACCTTCTATGGCAGCCATTTTGTGCTTGGCTCCACCTCCTGTGGTGGCCATTTTGTAGTGGCTCCCAGCACCCTCCCTCAAAATTCCAAAAATGCCCACAAGCACAAAAGATTGGGGAACCCCCCCCCCCGGAATAAGATAAAGAACAAGAGTAGTACAGAGGATGGAGACCGAAATTTGGTTAAAATTAAAAGAGAATTTTGAAAGGATAAAACTCTGATGTAAGCCCCAAACTCCATAATACCCTGAGGTGTAATTTAGCTGCAGAAATCATCAGGAGAGGGGGCAGTAGGTTCGGGGTCATGCTCAAAGCACCTGAGGAGGGTATTCTTAATTGGGGAAAGTGGTGGGGGGAGTTAGCAGCCCTTCCCTAACACAATATTGGGGGGGGGGGTGGAGCTAAATTACCCACTGGGGTGCCTGTTCACAGTTCAGTCCTTAAGCCCACGCTCACTGTGGGAAGAGAAGAATATAATTTCTTAAAGAGATCAAACGTGTCTCTGCAACCCTACTGATCTCTGCAGTATTTCATGTATCCCTACGTCACATGGCTGTCTGTAACAACTGCTTGACATAAAGACAAGTGAAAAGCACTGTGTGTGTGTATATTAGGGTTGCCAAGTCGGGTGTTGCGCC